TTAGTGTTTTTTAAGGGAAACCAACAGGAAGCCGCGCTAAGCCCTGCTGGTTTTCCTGTCTTGAGACACGTCCATACTTGGCCCTGGCGAAGGCGAAGAGTGAGGGTGCCCGGGCCCTGAGGCCACGCCTTTGGCTCGCGACTGCGCGCACCTCAGGAAGCGGAGGAGCTCTCTCCCGCAAATGCTCGGAAAGGCGCCTGTTCTCATCTTGAGCCTGGACAAATTGCTTAGGCGGTTCAATGCGGGCGGTTCAATGCTTCGGCTTTTCTAGACGCTTTCTGTTCTGCCTAGCTTGGCGCGACTGATTATGAAGAGCTGCCTCTTGCTCCGGTGATTGATTGATCAAAGCTGCAAGGTTTGTGCTCACTTGGGCCTGGACTATGAGAGTCTCGTGTTTAGGCCTGGGGTGGTGTGCTGCCTGAGCTGCTTCTAGTACCAACTGCGGCAAGTGCAGGCTGCATGCGCAGATGACTGCAGCCGCGCGGGAGGATCAGGCTGTTTGCGGCGGGATTGTCCAAGGCTTCCTAAATGGGGCGTTTGATCAGCCCTGGCCTGGTTTTTGCAAGCTCGGCAGCTTGATGGCTGCCAGCCAGCAGCATTTGGGAGGCCCCAAAGACTCCGCAAGCCGAAGCAGTAGAATTTGTGGAAAAGACCAAATCTCTCGGCTTCCGGGTGGAGATGCCTGACATCGAGCACGATCGTCAGGCAGCAGCGTGACAAGAAACATCACCCCGTGTCAACTCTGAAATCCAGACTGGGTGCCCAGGTTGAACAAACGTATCGTGCTGAAATTTTGATTTTAGTTATTTAACAGCTGTTTCCTCTGTGAAGCCAGCCAAATTTTCATGGATCAAGCTGGGCTTGTTTGCCATTCTGCATGATTTGCAAGCACTCAGTTGTCAATGTTGTCATTTTGCAGCGCCAACATGGTTGAACAGGAGGATTTGGTTGCGGCGGGCGCTTGCCTTTTTAGAGATGGCTACAGCGGCCGATGTTTGGGATCCACTGTGTTTTCCTGGGTTGCAACAACTTGACAACCGCCAGCCGGTCGCATTTGAAAGCCCACGAAGGCCCAGCAAGCCGAAGCAGCAGAATCTGGGGAATCTGCGGAGAAGACCGAATGTCTCGGCTTCCGGGTGGAGATGCCTGACATCGAGCACGAACATCAGGCAGCAGCATGATAAGAAACAGCGTGTCATGCTGAAGGCTAGCTGTTTCTTTAAATTGAGTACTGGTGATGATCAGGGATGAGAATTGCGTTCTTGCTCTCATAGGGTCCAACAATTTGCTGCGCTCTGAGTTGTAAACATGAGGACCTGCACTGATGTTCGTTCATTTCTTTCTCGCATGCCAGAGCGCGAAGCTCCGCAAAACGAATGTGGAAGCGCCAGGAAGTGAATGTCCATCGGGTGTCATGTTGCATTTGAAGCGCTCTGTTTCAGATATGTGAGTAAGAGCTGCTGTAAGGCGTGCATATGGCAAGGCATTGTTGGCGTACACGTTCTAGAAACCGGCAAGGTTTACAAAATTACAATTAAGGCTTCAGAGCTTTCTTCGCAACTCAAAGGGCGGACCTTTGCAAGCCAAGCCTAAAACTGGCTCAAGCCAAAATCATTGGGCCGAAGGTGACTTGGCAGGCAACGAATACAACCACGGAAAATATACCGTCCTTGCCCGACTGGCTTAGGAACTGGCTGGGAAGCGCTTAGGACGCTGTCGACTCTTTTGAGCAGGCTTCAAGACTATTTTGAAAATATCATTGCCAAGGGGAAAACCGAGAAATATCATTGCCAAGGGGAAAACTGAGAGAGACTGCTTTGTCAGACGTGCGAAAATGGGTGGCTGCCGTTTGGTTTCTGTTTAGCAACTGCAATACACTTGACCAGCAACACCGGAGGATTAGGCGTGCGGCGGGTTGTCCAAGTTCTCAATCCCCTTGCCTTGACAGAAAGGGGTGCTGCAATGGAAACCTCCTACAGCAGACGTTTTGGATCTGACCTGGCGCGCGTTTTTTGCGTTTGTCCTGTTGCGCATACATGCCAGTCGCATCTGGGAGGCCCCGAAGCCTCTGGCCGAAGCAGAATCTGTGGAACCCTTGGAAAAGACCGAATCTCTCGGCTTTCGGGAGATGGAGATGCCCAACGTTGAGCCCGAACATCAGGCAGCGCGAAAAAGAAACAGCGCGCCGTGTCATTTCTGAAATCAAGACTGCGTGCCGGCTGTTTCTCCAATAGTGATCGAATAACATTGTTCGCTGTGTCCACACCGGCCAACGACACACTGCTTTGAAACCAGGCGCATGCATGCGGGCAAGGGGTATACAATGGTGTGTGGGCCTGAAGGGTCGTTTGGTCTGATTTGGTCCTTGGTCGCCCTTTCTATCAGTGTGTTGTAAAACTTAAGAGCCAAAGTGTTGCAACACTGTTACGATTTCGGCCCACGTGTTGGAAAAAGATCGCTAATTGGAAAAGGATCGCTAATCAAGGTATGTGTTTGAAGA